AAAACCCCAACCAATCAACAAGTAAAATATTCCCATATGTCCTTCACAGAACAAATGTGTCCCAGGTATGCAGGAGTCACCTGATCAGGCAGCACTCACTTCAACCATGCTGCTAGTGTGAAATCTTGGTTTTTCACCAGAAGAAAGAAACTTTATGGTGCAATTTTTTACATCAGGTTAAGGTTTGAACCTCCCTACCTTGACAGAATCTCTGTAACATCCAATTTTTATGGGTACCTGAAGAGTACTTCTGGAATACTAATGTTCTCTGGTTCTTTAAGTGTATATTGCATCACAAATATATGTTTACTGGTATTTGATGGCTGCTTCATTTGCCAAGTAGTCATATCAAATTTATGAAAGGCGATTTCTGAGCGATATAGATGTGGGAAATCCCTTTTGTTGAGACATGGCATTAATCATGTTAGTGCCTAGATCTCCGTGCCCTTAGACCAACAAGATATACTGCTTCAGTGTCTACAGCCAGCTCCTAAAAATACACCATCTTCTGGCTGATTTTGTGCTTCAGAACAGGTGGAATAACCTGGTTCTTTAATGATCCACTGTCACTTCCGCATTTCTCTTGCTTTCATCCCCATAGGTGTCTATACTTTTGCATGTTTAAGATAACGTGTGGAAAGAGTGATGTGGGAACTGCCTCATCCTAAGTGTCGCTACAACTCACAGCAGTGGCAGCAGGGATGCCAGGACAGGTCAGGATCAAATGAAGGCATTGCTTAGCATTTATGTGAGTGTATTCCCAGATTAGGAGCAACCAGCACTCTCAATCATCTCCATTAGTGACAGCCAGGTCTGTCTCCTGCTATCCACAATCATATGCCACAAAAAGGGTGGCACACAGCCTCCACATGAACATCCTACTTCTTTATGTTGTCATGACTTGGATTCCATGTAAAAAAGGGGCTTAGTCCACCCACATCAGTCATACATTCTCCTACCTTACAGGGTGGTATTTAGTCAGCAGGAAGGATACAGGTACACCACCAGAGTATCTTAGTGCTGGATTTTAGCCTTTCCTTACGGCAAAGACTGTTCCAACAAGCCCCATGTCTTGGAGGTGCACCCAACATCTGCTGCAAAGGTGGCACATCATATCAATCATATCATATCATATCATATCATATCATATCATATCAATCATATACCATATAATATCATATAATATATCATATTGTATAATATTTTATAGGACTGAATCGTATAATCTCTCAAGTGTTTTTTCACTTTGTCTTATATTTGCATGCTGATTAGCCACCCATTTTGCTTTTCCCATGTATGCTAATCTGCATGGACACTCAGTGCTTGAGAGCCTAGAGGTTTTATTATTGAGTCTCTGACTCTCTTCTTTACCTATGTCTACGAGAGTAGGTCTATTGGGATCCAGCTGAACCTCCCTCAGTCTGTCTCTGGTCTCTCTCACTCATCCTCCCTTTATCTCTCTTCTTCTGCTACAGATCTAGAGACACAGAATCGTCTACGAAACTTCTGGTGGAGGTCATGCGAGACCCACTGTTAGTCAGAGCAAGTGACAAACGTAGGTCCCACTAAATTACCCAGAAATCTGTCCCTACACTGCTGCACCTAGAATTGTTCACGAATATTTCCCAAAGATTGTTCCATAAAGTCTTTACTGACTTGAATCTGGTGCTTGGGAAAAATCTGTCTGGATAAGGCCTGCCAACATGATGACTACAAAGTGACAGGGCTGCCACATCCTGCATCTGAGCTATGCAATGCACCGTGCAGTTGACCTGCACATCTACAGCAAGTCTAACACATTCCAAAGCCGTGGACTCTTGGAACAAGTCATCTCTGTACCACTTGTGCAAAGATTTTATGTCTACAGAAGTGCACTTTCCTGTGGGATTTCCAGGTTAATCACACAAAACTACTAGGCAATACATTACACTTACAAGCAGTGCTCTGTCACTGAAAGTTTTAGTCCAGGAAGGCCACGTCTGATCATCTTTCCAAGGAAAATAACTCCTCCACTGGTGAAAAACATCAGAAATGGGCATGCATGTGTCAGTAAATCTCTTCTGTTTCACACTGCAGTGTACCTGGCCCCCTGCCGCACAGTGGGAACTGGACTGGTTTCTCCAAGAGATCTGACCACTGAACAGAGGTCTGGAGAGCATTGGTCCTAGCACTGAGACAGTAGCTCTCTCCAGACCAGTCCAACGTTAATCCCACCAGTAAGTAGGCCAATTTGTGCCAAATATGGTTTTTTCTCTCCTGTGTCAAGACCACCCACCAGCACAGGGCATTGAATAGCAGCTATGACAGGAAGATTTTAACCTCAGCTAATGGCAATCAGAAGGTGACAGACTCATTTTCTTACTACCAGTCTTCTTAGGACTGAACAGGCAATTATTTTCTTGAGACTGCTTCTGTGTACGAAATTACATGGACTATCTCCAAAGAGCAGTGACAACTCAGTAAGCTGGGTGTAAGCTGGGTTACCTCTCGCACCAACCCACAAACTGCTCTCTGTAACCCCGCAGTGGTGTTGACAGACTCCAGAAATAGCCATGAACAGTGTTTTCCTACTAGAAGTCAGGTCTGGGTTGTGTCAGTGGGGGAGGTGAATTAAAAATGACAGGGAGAGCCGTTCCGAGGGGATCTCATCCCTCTCTACACACAGTCCCCAAAGGTGGTACTGAACCATTCCCCGCATGCAGCCTCTTGTAAACATGAGGGATCCCTTTCAAAGCTGGAACTGGGGGTGACTGGCACCTTTTGTGCTTCCTGCTTCTCTAACATTTCTCCTCACATTCCTTCACTGTTAAATGAATGGCACGACTTTCTCAATGTTTTCTTTTTCCTAACACTTTCTTACAGTTTTCATTTAATTTTAATGCAAGGGCACCAATCCTAGTTTATGTCATAATAGACGGACAACAATAGCGCAGTTTAACTAAAATAACATGCTAAACAGTGCTACATGTTGACGGAGTCGTGATGGATAAAATGTGGAGTGTTTTGGTGGTTTATATCTTCAAAGAAGAGCTGGCAAGTGTACAACGTGACAAATGTATTTAAGAATCTATGCCATTCAAATGATACTACCACATGTCTGTTTGGGATTTTTCCCGTCTAAATGTGGGAATATGGGCACAGATTCTCTTGCATACTGTGTTCTTCTAACATAAAGTGTCGGCATCTCCGAGGGTGTGTCAGTGGCACCCGATGTCACCAGACACACGCTGCAAAGGAGACAGCCGAAGTAAGTGTACGTTATGTGTGCCAGGCAGTCTTCATTTGTTTATTTCATGCAAAAAGGAGGGGATGGTGCTCAAAATACTCTCACTGGAAATTTGTATCAGCATGAGAAAGAGAAAAAAGTATCATTTGCATTTCAAGGCATTGCAAGTCCCTATCCTAGCTGAAATCATCGGCATTTATGGTACAAAGAGACCAGCTCCTGATGTGAGTGACAACGATGTAAAAATCCCCGCTAATTCACGTCATCTTGACTGAATTATTCTGCATTTACACCAGTTCCACTAAGATAGAAGCTGGCTCATGGTCTTTACACGTATACATTTTGTGTCTTTTTCTGCTATTGTTTGTCACTATAAGCCGCCTCCTTTGTTTATTAGTTTTTATTTGTGCAATGTATTCATATTCTCAGAGTCCATCTGCTAAAAGATCCTATTTAAAGAAGATGGCATCATTAGCTACCCTCTCTCGCTATAAAAAAAGGAGCGGTTCCCATATTTTTACCCAGTTCAGTGGCTCAGTGGATGCACTAATCTTGCTGAACACTTCAGTTTAGATGGTATATCAATGAGGCATTCAAACAGAGCAGTTTATACACAAAAATTCTGTCTGCTTTGTAAAAGATTATCCTTTTATAAACACTCTGCGGAAAACATAAAAGCAAATAGGGGACAGCACATAGGACAGGAAAGATGTTAGAAGGGAGATTAATACTGAATGGGTCGAAATGAATGGTGCTTACCAAAACGAGGTCCAGATACTTTGGCTGCAGTGAAACATAAATAATGGGAATGACACATCGTTTATTCGGGATAATGAGTTGATCCGAAGTAGGGGCCTAGAACAAGAGATTAAAGATTAAATATCCATCTCCTGATGAATATCAGTAGCAAACTTTAACCTTTTCCTTCCAAAAGCACAATTTCTTTGAACAATCATGTCAGCATAACACAGTGAAGAAATGGGATAAAGCAAACTTAAATCACATTCTTATCCTTATCCTGAAAGAAAAAGCTGCTTCATATTTTAAGACACAGTAGTACATTTTTATTTCCAGGCTTGTAACTCTTTCAGAATAATTATATGAGAACACAAAGATTTTGCTTGATGTTTTGTATTAGAAAAATCTGGCTTTAGCATTTATTGCTTACATTTTAGTTCTCTGCAATAATTGAAGAAAGAACATGCCCATCCTAAACATTCACTTGGGTGGAGAGATAATGACAAAAAGCAGCCTGCTGGAAAAGCACAGCATACCACATGCCGAATTAGAGTCTTGAATGCAAGGAGGACTTGGAAGATATCACAAGCTTTGGATCAGGAACGGCTGGAAGTGTAGTGAAGGGGGGAAAGGCACAGACAACTGGGGACAGCAGGCTGACTGTACTGCAGTGCTGGCAACCTGTCCAAGCTGGTCAATTAGTGGTACTTCTAGCTCAAGATGCTGTACTGCAACTGAGGCAGAAGACATAGGACAAGCGGGAATCTGGATAGCTGTGGCTTGCCCAGAACTTGGAACAGACCAGCTGCTGGATGCATGCAGCCAGCCAAGCCCTGCATTGTGGTTTTGTTGCTGATGGCTGCCTCCTGCAAGAGGGATAAAACTGAGGACAGAGGGAGGAGGGGGCAAGACTTTCAAATGACATTTAGAAAACAGCCAAGCTAGAATGCAGGAGTAAGTTCAGCATGCTCTCACCTGCTCCATGGAAAGGGGTTTACTCCACAAGCAGAAGGACTTTGTGGTTTCATTCCACTCTCTAGAGAATGTGCTGTCCCAGTGCCAAACCAGCACGCATGTACAGCTGGCAGTTTCTCTGAGAAGAAGCCCTGTACTGGAAGCTGTGGAAAAGTATCCATTTTTTCTTGGTAAATATTTGCATGCAAAACCAGATATTCCCATAGGTTTTTGCGAGGCTCTGCAAACTAGTTAGAAGGAAGGATTTTTGGATTTGTGCTGGGGAGTGTGCATGCACAGACACGCAGTTCCAATGAGGACGTGGTCCTGGGAGGTGAGCTCATTGAAATGGTGTCTTGAAGGACACTGAAGACAGCAAGACTCATGTTTTGCAGAATTCACATTTTGGTAACAGAACAAAAATACTGCCATTTCACATTGTCCCTTTACACCATGAATTCAGGATTTGATGTGTTTCCCTCTCCTCTTGGGTAAGAGATGCAAGTCTTGTCAGGCACCTTTCCTCATAGGCTGTCCTGTAACAGCATCATTCCACCTCCTTCATCCTAAAATGTCCTGAAGACCTTGTGAAAAACCTGAAGCTTCCTGCTGCTGCATCACAGTTAATATACCAAGAACAGGACCACAAGGTCAAACAAATGCAAGTGAAGGAAGAGCACTTAGGGTGCTGGGCTGGTGGAGGGGGCAGAGCTGACAAATCAATAGTAAGGGTGTGAGCAGAAGACATATGGCTGGTTATCATCATGGCCAGCCGGGACCAGGTTCTGCAGGGCTTGGCTTGCCTAGGCAGTCCATGCTGGAGAGTGGGTTGGGTTTTCCACTGCTGCTTGCCATGGCAAAAGGAAGGGGAGGTCCGTCTCTGTGCCAAAGAAGCAGCCTCTCCTCTGGGGAACCAAAGCTCTCCAGGGACAGGGACCACTGTGCTTGGCTCAGCTGCTCTGCCTGTTCTCAGCACCCTGCACTGATTTCTAGCCAGACAGGCTTTTAGCCTTGAGATACGAGCAGCGACTTTCCTTTTATTCAGAAAGAAGCATCCATTTTCAAGCATTATCACAGCACAGATAATAAATATTACAAACAGCAGAGCTGTGAGGGGATGCCAGAGCTCTGCTGCTGACTGATGCCTGACCTCTGCAAAGCCCACGTCACCGTGTCACATCGCAGTGCTTGGCTGTGCAAAGGGGACCATCCTGCCCAGGGGCACAGTGCTGCAGGAGGGGCAGGACCCCTGTTGCCACATGTGCTCCTCCTCCCAGGGTGCCAAGGGGCTCCTCACATGGAAAAGACACTCCCTGTAGGGTCTGAAGGGCATATTTGAAGGATCCTGCAATGAAAGTTGTTGAAGACACACACACAACAATCCATGTATGTTGTAGGGGAGAGAGTATGGTCCCAAAGACCCTCAGTGTGGCACAAAGCAAGGCGCCCGAGGCTCCTGGTGGTCCCAAGATTCCTGACAGCTTGCATTGACCTTTCTAGGGAGGGAACTGATGGTGCTGGGCCTCCCTGCTTCACTTCACCTTACATCACCTCACTACTAAGGAAGAGGAGAAGCAGCTCCCAGATGATTCCAGCACACAGCAATAGGCTCTTGTACTTAGGAAGTATTTGTAACTTGATTTAAAATTAGCCTTAGTAATTTAAAGATTGCAATGAGAGTGTCATGAGACACAGAACAGACTATTTCAAGAATATTTGTCCAAATTCAGTGGATAGACATGAGTTTTCCAGGGCTACTTTCAGTATGTTACTGGAAGCTCAGCTTATGAGCTGAAATCCCAAGAGTTTTTATTAATGGAGAGCTCTCTGCCTGGACATCTGATTATGCAGAGGAGCGAGGCTTTTGGGTTGTAAAATTAGATGGAGAATGTCCACTTTGGAAGAGAAAGCACAAGTTTCTTGTGAAACTGCTCTGGGAAGAACCAAAACTCAGGTGTTCACAGCTTGATTTTCACAAGGGAACTATATTTTAAAGCATCTGTGAATAAATCTGTGCAAACAAATGTGAGTTTTCTTAGCAAACTGCCCCAGCACCCATATCCACTGTGCAGTTTGTAGGCTGGGAGTGTGACAGGTCATGGTGCCACCCAAGTGCTCCCCTTTAGCCACCCCGAGAGCATACCCCAAGTACAGCACCCCTTGTCCTAGGTTTGCTGCACAATCCATGGAAAGAAAACAGCTCATACTAACAGCTGAGGTGAATCTCAACAAAAACCACGCAGCTCTCTTCTTTGGTTACTTGAATCTGCCCTGTACAATATTTTATTAGGAGCATGTCATTAATTGTGCAGGTATTGATACAGAACCTGTTTTTTTACAGGTGTGAATGGTTTGCCAGGTCCTCATGTATTCTAATTCAAATCATCATGTAATTTTTGACAGTGCAAGCCTTTAAGGAAACAAAATAGTTTTTACAGTGCCACTGTGAGTTCACTAGATCTGTGTTACCCATTTAGCATCCAGAGGGCTTGAATTTGGCATAACTACCAGAAATTTAATTTGGAAAACTTATGAGTCTGTCAGACACCTTTGGACACTGAACCTGATTCCAAGCAGTCATGGAATACAGGGACATTTCAACTTGTATCTGCTTACAGATCTGAAATCTGGATTTAGATCCAGTAACTAGCAGCAGTAGACAGAAATGAACCAACAAACCTTACCCACACCACTCTAAGATGGAAATGATCTGTCTGCACCTGATCCAGTTCAGGGAGCAGGACTGGAGAGCACCTTGTGGAAGCCTGATCATGGCAGTGAGCAAGGTCCTGAGGGATGCTGAAGGGTTTGGCAGCCAGTAGCACAGCACGAGGAGCAGTACAGACAGGCTGTCTTCCTTCTGCCCCTCAGGGGTCAAGAAACACCCTGCCTGGCAATTCCCCTCACATCAAAGGAGCCTACAGAGGCCCTGCTGATGGCCATGAGGGGCTGCAATACCAGCATAAAGCTGCTTGAGCTGGGTTAGCAGTGTGTTCACATATGGTCTTGGATTGTACCTTTCCACAAACCAGCTGTACCTCTCAAATAAATACATTCTGGGCAAAGCTCAAAAATACATCTTTCTAGAGATTATTTCCATCTGCACATCATAAAGGATATATTGATTTAGCTACACTCCTGAGATCAGAGTGGAAACACTGTATAGTCGGGAAGCAGACACATATGCTGCTTATCAAAGCTATACATACGGTACAAAAAGATACCAGTGTGGAGAGCAACCAGCTATATTTGCACCAGCACACAACCTGTCCTGTAATTCTCTAAAACAAAGGAAAAGGAAGGGCTGAATGCTACTGTTCCTGGGCCACACAAATGGCATGTGAGGAGCCCACCAATCCCAGCTGAACTCATGGACATGAGGGATCTAAGGAGTTGACAATTGCTGTAGCTGTCAAGGATTGCTCCCAAAGCCTATGTATTTATTTATTTATTTATGTGTATTTCTTGGAGCTGCAGAGAAATGCAGTAATTGACACAATGGCAAAGAATATCCCAGATGAACTCCAAGTGGAAGCCGTCACCAGAGCAAGGCTGTATTCTCTCTGCAAAGCCCTTTCACCCATCCACAAGGAGGACAAGTTACATATTCCTCAAAATTCACGGCATCTGTGTCTGTAGATGGTGATATAAGTCCAAAAATTACAGAGCAAGACAGTGAGTTACCTAGATCATGCAGCACCACTGCGTCCTGGCAATGTACATACCTCAAACTGGTGCTGGAAAGGGTCAGTAAAATCATCATCTGTGGAGGCAGAGAGAACACTGTGGTCTCCTGAAGCACTAATCCTTCCTGGTGTCTCTGGGATAACAGAGAATGGGGAAAGTTACTAGAGGAAAATCATTTGGGTTGGAAGAGACCTTTAAGATCACCAAGCCTGACTGTAAACCCAGCACAGCCAAGTCCACCACTGAACCGTGTCCCTAAGTGAGTTTACATAGTTGTGTGTTGCAGTGTACAACTTTTGTCTTTTAAATATCTCCCGGGTTACTGACCCAACCACTTCCCTGGGCAGCCTGTTCCAATGTTTGACAACTCTTTCTATGAAGAATTTTTTCCTAATATCCAGTCTGAACCTCTCCTGGCTCAATGTGTGGCTATTTCCTCTTGTCCTGGCCTTGTTACTTGGGAAAAGGCTGACTCCCTCCTTGCTACAATCTCCTTTCAGTTAGTTGCAAATATACAAATAAGCATATATGAGATGATCCTTGCACTTATTTCAGGTATTTTCTGGCTTTATGTAGTTCTGCAGTTTAGCATAAATCAGGCCAGAGTTAGCAGAATTGTCCCTGGGTGTGGGAGTAAAGGATTGTTAAGTTCCTCTCTTTCCTTACCGCCAACCACTTTTGTACCTCTCCTAAAGCTCAAGCTCCTGCACCCACAGCACTGAGTCAGCAGGACACATCCCATCAGCGATCCTCAGTCACTTCTGTGCAAAGTCCTAGGGCTGAGTTTAAATGTCTGCTGAACAGTTTAGGCCAAACTGCTGCAGAGCCCCTGCATTGACGTCATCAAACAACGGGCTATGGCTGTTGTATGTGTATCCACAGAAGATTTCATAACCTAGACAAAATGATCAGAGGGATGACACCCATCCTTGACGAGGACAGACTGAAAGAATTGTGATTGTTCAGCCTGGGAAAGAGAACACTCCAGGACAACCTTGTTGCAGTCTTTCAGCACTTACAGGGAGTCAACAAGAAAGAAGTAGGCAGAGTTTTCAATAGGGCCAGTAGTGATAGAACAAGAGTTAGTAATGGTTTTAAACTGAAGGAAGTTAGATTCAGGTTACAGATAAAGGAAGAACTTATTTACAGTGAGGGTGGCAAAACACTGGCAAAGGTAGCAGAGAGAGGTGGTGGATGCCCCATCCCTGGAAGGTCAGTTGGGTGGGACTCTGGGCAACCTGGTCTAGCTGAACATGTCCCTATTCATTGCAGAGGGGCTGGACTACACGACCTTTTAAGGGCCCTTCCAACCCAAACTATTTTATGATTCTGTAAGAAAAAAGCCTTATATTGGTGTTATTTGGACACTCTCAGGAAGATGAAGGCCAAGAATCATTGGTTCTGACAAAAAAATTGCTGAAGTGCCCCGAGTACCAACATAGAAGTATCATCAAACTCCTTTCATGTCTCCTCTACCAGTCTAATGGCCTGCATAAGTAAGAGAAGCATAAAAAAGAAATCTTTGATGGCTTCAAAGGACAGTACCCTTGAAGCAAATTATTGATTACCAGACAATGTTCAGGTAAAATAAAGAACAGTCACTCTAAAACACACAGCCATCTTCAACAGTCAGACTGAGACCACTTGAGGAAGGATGGAATGAGGCACAGTATAGTGCCTGCTCACTGGGAAGAGATGGCTCTAAAATCCTTGAGACTTCCATCTGACCCAGGTACAGATGGAGAAAGGGGTCAGTGAATCCCAAACCCACCAATGATTCCTCAGCACAGGGTTTGCTTTCTCTGCAACTTTGCCCTCCAGAAAAAGAGACCTCATCCTGAGCAAGAGATGCAGAATCAGGCACAAAAAATGGCATAGCTGCTTCTCCCTGGAAAATTCCACCCAACATCTGCACAGCAGCTGGATTTCCCAAGTCTATTATCTCATTTCACTGATCTGAATGAATTCGCTCTCAGAACAGCTGCAGATCTGTATATATCACTCATGGCTTGATTCACTATGTTTTACCTGAATGAAATATTAATTAGCTACACTGTCTTTTCTCCTCCCACCACTAAATGCTAATTAATTGTAATTCATGACGGAAAAAAAAGTGGCACATGAGTAGTTACTTTGGCCCAAAACATGAATCAGTTCTAAAAATCCAAACAAACCCTAGTCAATTCAGAGTTTGAAACACTGCTGGGGAATAAGTACAACTTCAGTCTCATTCTTTTCATTATGAGAGTCTTAAATACATTTTTTCTGCAAATTCATCCAGAGAGATGCATCACTAATATACTGGCGAAGCATGGGGTCTCTAACTGATCTTGGTCAGTTTCTTAATACAAGAAAGGTCCCACAAGAAAAAGCACAGCTATGGTGTTTGGCATGAAGTAAAGACACCAGGCAGACTCTGGAACCTTAAGTTTGCAGGTTTTGATCCAAAGTCACTTCAAACAGCCTTCCCATCACTGCAACTCAGAGGTCATAAATATTTTGCCACAAAACACTTAAACTTCCTGCTGAAATGGACAAATGTGCTGACAAGTTCTCAGCAAAAAGGATGTTTTATGTGAAGATTTAGAAGAATGAAGAACACACTTACAACATGTATTTCCAAAAGGCAATTTATGAGGTAAATGTACTCCTTAGGGTGTATTTATCTTATAGGCTTAATGGCCACAACTAGTTTTAGACTTAAATGTCACAGACTTTTTCTGTCTCTTTTTTTTTTTTTTTTTTTTTTTTTTTTTTTTTTTTTTTTTACTGTCTGCTGTTTACAGCACACTCTGCAAGCAAACTGGGCTGCTCAGCTCTGCATTTTCTAACGGCGGCAGCCTTTCTTCTTTCTCCCTATAACAAAAATGCTTTGAAGTCCTATGCTGTTAGTTACAAGTATTCTGATATTTCCCCAGCAAGGATGTAATAGGAGCCAAAACAAGCCTCCAGGTGCCAATATTGCACCTGACAAATTAGGCACACGACTGGAAAAGGATGGGCCCATCCTTCTGCTTAATGTTCATTTCCTCTCATTTCCACGTTAACAGGAAGTAGTTGGAATGGAAAAAAAGACTTTCCTTAAAGATCTGAACTATCAAAAGCCTGGGGCTGTTTCTCCTTGCAAACAAAAAACTTGGAAGCCGGCTATGTCCTATGATTTGGAGCTCATTTACAGTGACTTGTTTAACCCCTACTGACGGCACGATGAACAGGATGTTATGATTTATTTAACACTTAAAGCGGGTGTGAGAACAAGGTGGATGGTGCCCTTAGATGTAGTCTTTTCATAATTTATTGCTCCAAGTGCTTAATTTTTCCTCAGGGAAACCTTTGATAGCCGGCTGCTGCGGTGTGGTTAAGTGTGTGCATTAAGCTGTAAAGCAAAAATATTAATAATACTAAAAATAAAAGCCGTAACCAAAGTTACTACTTTGCATAACAAGAACTTGCATGCCTCGTTCAGCTGAAACTCAGAAGTGATAACCCCACACCAACCAAATTGACTTGAGGATATTTAATGGAGCAGCACAAAGAGCGTTGAATTTACCATCTGAGGACTTGAGCTGCACAAACACAAAGCAAACTCACTCTTGCAAAACACCACATGGCTCCTGGAAGGCCACTGGAGAACCATAACAAAGTCAGCTAAAAAAAATAAAATTACTAACATCTCCTACACTGGTACCACTGGGTACTCTGACCAAGAACAGGGTCACAAAAAATGTTATGTTTGACTGGCTTTAAAGTTGAACTGCTGCTTAATAATGTTGTAGCATTCCTCAGAGGGTTTATCTTAAATCACCTTCTTTTGAATGGTCCATAATCTTTATCTGGAATACAGAACCATCCTTTAGAAATCATTTTCATGTCAAAGTTACTCAGTGAAATAATGTATAGATCTCCTGCTCTCTGGAGATCAGTGTTCAGCTCTGCTTCACGTCCTTACATTGAAGGCCCCTGGTGACTTTAGCAAGCATGATCTGTAGGACTGCTTGCACCTGTGGATAAAGGACTTCAACTTTGAATGTTAAATACCTGTTTCGGGGGGGTTTTTTTCTCTCTTGAGCATGCATGTGTGTGAGTAAGTTGTATTTTGATATAGACAGGTAGGTAATTCATTTCACTTTTAGGAGATGAAGTAATGATTTTAGCAAATTACATTTGTCTCTTTAATCTTATATTTCCATGCACACTCAGTTAAATGTTGTAAAACTATCAATTCTGTCAAAACCTAACAGAAAGAAAACAAGAAACCCTGCAATCTTAATGTCCAAACTGACTGGTGATTAACAGGAATTAAATGTGCAGGAATTCCAAATCTTTTCTGATCGGAGATGTCTAGATGACTTTTGTTTTTCCCTAATTGTATGAGGTTCCTACATAGTATTTAAGAATCAATTATATTGCAATTGATGTAATTAACTCTAATAATCCAGTAAAAGTCAGTAGGAGGGCTATTCAAGTCAATAGAAAAGAGAGACTATATTATGAAGGTGTTATTAACCTATACAGATTTTACTAGACATTTCCCTTTCTTACATAATAAATATACAGTGATGAGGAAGGCTGTCATTATAATTTAATGGGAACAATGGTTCATCACTTCCTTTCCTGTACAAGCCTTAACTAATTCTACATACAGTGTATAAGTAAAATGAAGTTAAATGAATCTCATAAATTAGCTATTAATCATCCATCAATCATCTGTTGCTCCATGATTAAAATCTGTGTTGCATTCAGAGCTGGGAAAGGTATTTGGGGAGCGGCAGGAGCTGCATGTACATCTTCCAATTAATTTATTCATGCACTTCCATTTTGCATTGCCAAGGGTACTTACTGAAACCAGTCCTGAAGTCAGAGAAAGTCTCCAGAGGAAAGTTCCAGCCCTTCCCAGAATAAAGTAAAACCCTAATTTCCATATTTATAGGCATCACTCTGGCTTTAAGCATTGTTGCATATGAGAACCTCATTCATGCTTCTCAATTCAGTCAGACAACTCTTTTTGGGGAAAGAAAGCAACACCATGAAGTCAGGGAAAGTGAGGCAGTGGTCTGCTATATGCCTTGCAAAGTGATGAAGAGAATTCCTCTGCCCAAGATCCTAATCTCCTGTCTTATGCTCTAAGACTTT